ATCTTTGCTTCCTCTCTTGACCACTTTTGTGTGGTATCAAACTTTGTTCCCTTTCTCTCTATCACAAGGCATCCCACACTTGCCCTAGCTCTCTTGCTTTTTTCCTCTGACATGAGAATGGGGGGTTCCAGAGAGAGGACCTGTCAGGTTAGACTCTGAAATGAAAAGAGACAAAGTTAAGGATAAGCTATAGATACCAGAATGTAAATAAGAAAGATACAATGTCTGTGAGGCACTCAAAATCAAGAGCAATCTGTTACCTGGTTGGTCCTTAAAAAGCTGACAAAAATACTTCAGATGAAGGAAAAGTATGCACAGAGGTACAGATGTACACAATAAGCCATAGGGCTTAGAGGTACATTTCGAGTTAAAAGCAGGCAGATAGAATCAGTATATTTAACTTGGGAAATAGTGGGCAAAGAAAAAGTTAGTGAATTCGTGAAATGTACAGACCAGTGTTCACTGGCAAGCTCGGAGTACTGACAGGAGGCAATCCAACTGAGGAGAGTGAGAGTATATTGCTGGTACAGTGTTCTTTTAATTAAAATCAGATCCCCAAACAAGGTTCTTGTTAAAGGGATTTGTCATGGGGATGATAAGAGTCTAATAAAAATAACTCAGCATGAAATTGCACGTTTCCGAGAGGAAGCAATAAATGGGAATTTGTGAGTCCAAATAGTCTTCCAAGTGTCCTAACGAACATTTCCAGGACCTGTTTGTGGGAAGGTAGCAATTTCGTGGGACATAGGGACATCCTGAGGGACCCTGAGGGTGTGTTAGAGATATGACCCAAGAATTACTGAACTGGGTAATTGACTAGGTATGTTTGATATCTAGCAAGTACATACTCTGGAGTCAGCTTCCCTGTGCTCTTTTTCTTATTTTCTTTTTTCTTTTAAAAATACAGCCAAATACAGATAATGGCATAAGGAGCATTCATGTTCTCAGCACAGAGATGAGTGTTGTTAATGGTTTCTCATCTTTACTTTCAGTTCCTTTTAGTTTTTAAAAAACGCTACAAATGATGGGACTGGGGAGATGGTTAAGATGGTAAAGTGCCTGCCCTGTAAGCCTGAGGACCCATATTCCAGTCCTTGTCACCCTCATAAAAGCCAGTCACACATCTGTAACCCTGGTACTAACCAGACAAAGACAGATGGACCCTTGCAAGGGCTCACTGACCATCCAGGCTAGCCAAATCTGTGAGTTCCTGATTTGGTGAGAGACCCTGTCTCAAAAACTGAAGTGAAGAAACAATAGAGGAAAGATACCCAGTGTCTGGTTTCTACAGTTTCTCTCTGTGTCTCTCTGTGTGTCTCTGTCTCTGTCTCTGTCTCTGTCTCTCTCTCTCTCTCTCTCTCTCTCTCTCTCTCTCTCTCTCTCTCACACACACACACACACACACACACACACATATACACACACCACATAAACTATTTTATGTGTATGTGTGCTTAGCCTGCATGTGTGTGTACCACTTGTGTGTCTGATGCCAGAAGAAGATGTAGAATTTCCTGGGACTAGAGTTACAGATGGATTTTGGTCACCATGTAGATCCTGGGTATTGAACCCAGGTCCTCTGGAAGAGGACCTGGGTTCATCTTTCTAGTCCCATAAACTTTTACAATTGTAGATAAAGTTGAACTTTAAAAAAAAAAAATCCTTGTACAGCCCTTTCATCTCTCCTCCTCACATATTCTTCCTTTCATCATAGACAACAACAATCCTGAACTTCATATGATCAGAGTAGTTCATAAATGATACTTATTTTCCCACAAACCCATATTTTGTACTTACAGTTTCATTGAGAGTATATAATGTTGTTTGGTTTTGTGGCTTAAAAAACAACATTTTACAAAAGTAATATATTTCAGTTTTCTTTTTTCACAGAATAGTTTATATGTTTTTTAGTCTGGAGTGATTTGGGTTTGGGAAAGTGGTTTGTTTGTCTGTAACACTGTTTGGGCTGGAACTGCCAGAGATTCTGCTGCCTCTGCCTCCCAAGAACTGGGACTAAAAGTGTGAGCCACCACATCTGGCAGAACAGTTTGTTTCTATGATTTTTTTTTCTCGAAACAGGGTTTCTCTGTGGCTTTGGAGGATGCCCAGGAACTACCTCTTGTAGACCAGGCTGGTCTCGAACTCACAGAGATCTGCCTGCCTCTGCCTCCCAATGCTGGGACTAAAGGTGTGCGACACCAACGCCAGGCCTAGTCAGTCTCTTTTATTGTGCAGGATGTCATTACCCAGTACATTCAATAAATTCCTTGTTGCTGTGAATTGAGGGAACATAACAAGGCCAGCTTCATAGAAAACAAGAGCAAAGAGAGAGGGGAAGAAGAATGGCCTTCTGAGGTGACCATGTGGAATGGGGAGACAGTATTGTTTTAATATCTGTAGTAGTAGTAACTGACTTTGTGCTGAGTATTGTTCTAAGCACTCTTAGGTAGATACTGCTGTTGACCTTACTTTATAGATAGTGAGACTGAAGCACAAAGAGCTTCCTCAGATACTAGAGTATCTAGTTACCCAGAGTAACCTAGCTAAGTAACAGAACTAAGATTCAGACCCAGGTCATCTCATTCCAAAGACAAAGCTCTTGTGTGTGAGGTGATCTGGCTGGCTAGGCAAAGGTCCCATTCCTCCCTTCTGTGAGTTTCTCCTGAAACTACACACTCAGTCCAAGAGGACAGCCTTACCCCCAGATGAGGACCATGCTTCTCTTAAGGGTATAAAAGTACCTGTGCTCCCCCAGCATTGCCTTCAAGCTGGCTCTCAAGACAAAGCTTTAAGCTACACTGCCATCCTTGTGTGTCCATCTTCATATCTTGTCTGGTAGCCTTACCCTTCATTTACTGTAATCTAGCTTCCATTGCAGCCGCTTCCTTGAATTGCTTTTGCCTGCATCAACAAGTTGGGTTACAACTCTATTCTTTCTGCAGCTCCTGGGGAAGTTCATACTGCAGCCAGTACCTAGTATATACGGTACTAGTGTATGCAGCCTGTGTTTTACAGGGATGAACAAGACAGGCAAACTGCAGTGGCTGAAGAATGATGTGTCTTGTTCTGTGGGTGGCTGCAGACTTGTTGGTGGATGGTTAATAGGCCCATTCATTGCCCTGTACCTTTGTTTGTCTATGACTAAAATAGATCATATAGTTGTTTAGTTTGTGGCTTCACAACATAGGAAAATAATAATTTAAGTATTTACCACTTTTGTTTTTTTTTTCCAAAAAGGAAACTGTACCTCTCCGTGTGATTGTCTTGACTGTGATGGTTATTTCTCATATAATTATTGAAGATGAATGGCAAAAAGTTAATTTGCTTTGACTTTTTACCTATTTTCTCTACTGGAACCTATTTGAATTAATGTAATGCTAATTTGAAAACATAAAAATCTCTGCAGAATATTAAGTAATTTTCATTCCATATGGCCAAACAAAAAGCTACTCCAAGCAAAATACTTTCATTTATAGAGACACAGTGGTAAGCTTTTTATCACGTTGCTGTGGCTAAGCATTGGAACCAATGTGGAAGAGAAAGCATTTCTTGCCTCTCTCCACATGTCGTCCAAAGTCACTTGCTGTGTTTTCATTCCTTTCCTCCTTCAATAAAGAGGAAAAAGGACTCTTTCACTCTTCTTCATGCCTAACACTAGTGCGTGTTATCTGTGTTTCAATGGGAATGTGTTTTCTCTGGTGACTGGAAGCGACTCCAATCCTCTTGGCTACATCCTGGGTTACTGTTTGTGTGGAGAGCTGTTTGTTTACAGCAGCAGTTAGCAATTTTCTTGGACAGTGCTGTCATAGCCATTGCCTTTACTGAAACCCAAATGCCTCTTAGAAGAAAGATGACAGATTCCATCCAGCCACTTGCAAAACTTTAAAAGCAATTCCTTGTCAAACACGTGAAAAACAACTCTTCCTTCTCTATAACTTGAAGGGGGGGGGGGAGAGAATATCTTACTCCAGATGTTGGTTCCTTGCTAGTGAAACAGGCCTGGGCTGGTTCATCCCCATTCCTTTATGTTCCCTTTGCAAAACCCACAGAGAACACATTTGGGGCCACTTTGCAGAATTGGCAAGAGTCTCTGCTTTTTAAGGGAATCATATGGACACAGAATGCCACAATCAATAGACTCGGAATCCCCAGGGCCCAGAAATGGGATGCTTAGGACTTACATTCTAGGTCATCAGTTAGAATATGGCCTGGACCCAAGAATCATCCCAATTGTTGCCAGGCTTTGCTTACTTGATTAAACTTGATTCAAACAAAGCTAGGTTGAGGAGAGTTTGTATTTTCTTGTTGATTAGTGGTGGGGGCCAGGAAAACAAAAGAAAGTAATGAAGGTGGAGAAGGAGTCAAAAGAGGTGGAACTCAGATCTGTAAGACTCCCCTTTGGAGGACAGGTGATGTAGCCAATCCACTTTCTCATCACTGCAGATGTGAACAGGCCAAAATGTTCATTGGAGTTAGGTGCCTTTCTTTGCCATCTACATGGAAAGTATTGTGGCTGTCTTCATGGATTTAAAGGAGAGGAGAGGAGAGGAGAGGAGAGGAGAGGAGAGGAGAGGAGAGGAGAGGAGAGGAGAGATTTATTGATAAGCCTGGCATTCCAAGGGGATGGATACCCTTGGATGTAGTAGAATCCACATTGAAGACACTGAACCATCCCTGGTCACCTCCTTGCTAGGGATGTTGAGGACTTAAACAATAGACTGGTGTTTGTATTAGTTGGGTTGGGTGGTTTTTTCCTTTGCTTATTTTTTTGTGGTGGTGGTGATGTTTTGTTTTGTTTTTGTTTTTGTTTTTGTTTTTTTTTATAACTTCTTTACGTAAGGATCTATGCACCAGGAACCACAACCCAGCCTTTCACCTGTTTCCTTTTAATAATCTTGACTTGGGTCGTTCTCAACTATTTCAGCCAATGCATCTTGTCTAATTAGTTCTGCTTATGTGCAAGATGACAAACCTCCTTTATTACTATTTTCCCCCCTTAGGTGTCTGAACACACTCAGTTAAGCTGGATCCTCACCTGCATGGTCAGACTGCCTCGACTGCAGCATTTACACCAGTGGAAGGTAAGTGCTGGGACATGATTATTAATGGAAAGGAAGGTTTCTGTTTGTAGCTGGGCCAGGTTCTAGGAGTCCTGAGTTCACTCTTCACCCTGGTATGCCACTCACCTGTCCATGTCACTGTGTTATGCAGATACTAGAAGGGTTCACCAAGACTCCTGACCTCAGAATCCTGTTTGTTATTTGTTTTATCTGTATTTGGATAGACTTGGTAATGACCTTGAACCTACCACATTATAATTAACAAACAATCAGAATCTCTGGAATACTGGCCCCTGGTGTTGTCTCCCATCTCCACTGGAACTAACAAGCATCCCAGAAAGAACATATTTAACATTTAAACAAGTTGAGGCTAGGCAACAGTTCAAACCCACAAAAGAAAATTAAGATTATTGTTTTAGGAAGTTCCACCAGGAAAGGTAAATTAGATAATTCATCATGTATTATTGCCATTTACTTTTGCAATTAGTTAACTCGAAGTAGGTAGTCCCAACTCTGTCAACACTAGTTTTAGTTTCAGCTTCTTTTGAGCATATTTTCTAGGATACTGGTTTCCTCAAAAGTTGGTCTTCAGAAGCTATTCCCTAAACTGCAGAGAGAAGGCTCCCTGAAGTGCTTGTGCCTGGACTGAATGGTCTAGGTACATGGGTGCCTCTCTCCCAAGCCTTGCTTTGAAACCCAACCCCCAGCAGCTGGGGCTTTGAGAGGTAGTCAGATGGGAAGGATGGGTCCCTCATGAGAGGGTTGTTGTTTTAAAACAAGCCCCTTCTCCTCTCTCACAAAGCAAGGAAATAAGGACACAAAAGACTGATCAGTCTCAGAGGTGGGTTGTGAGCAGGTGTCTCTTTTCTAGCTCTAGTCTTTGTCTTAATCCTGAACTTCCTGGTATCCAAAACTAGGAAAAATGAACTTCTGCTCTGTTGTTTACAACAAAAATTGATGCTTTGTGGCTGTTCAAAGACCCGCTATTAAATAAGACACTAATGGTGATGCTGCAGGTTGACCACATCCCAGGAATTGGAAACAAGGCTTTATAGGGTCCTCTAACATATTTTAATTTTAGGAAAGACTTTGCTGTTTTAGTCTAACGCTATGCCACTAATTTCGGATCCAACCTAGTAATTAAGTGTAAAAAGTTCTCTGAGGCAGAATTTGAGTATCCTGGGAAGATATGCTAAGGGCAATTCTGACTGGGACAGTGAGCACAGAAGGAGTGGTGTTAAGGCTGGGGTCAGGGTTGCTGAGGTCAGGGTTATCTGGAGGGTTGATAGGTAAAGCATCTATAGCATATTAGCAGCACTCAGTAAATACTACTGTTCTCTACATCACCTTGCTTCCTTTATACTTACAAGGACCAGTATGCTAATATAAAAGATACAGGGCTGGAGAGAGAGCTCAGGAGTCATGAGTGTTTTTCACCCTTCCAGCACCTATATTAGGTGGCTCACAACAGCCTCTAATTCCAATTTTAGGGGATCCTGTACCTCTTTCAGGGCTCTGCAGGCACATGCGGCAAGCATATACACAGACACACACATACACATAAATAAAAAATAATAGTGATAATATATCCACAAATTGGGCAGCAAGGTGACTCAGCACCAGCCTGATGACCTGGATTTGATTCCTAAAACCCACAGTGGAAGGAGAGAGCTGACTCTCCAAAGTTGTCCTCTGACCTCTACATGCAAGCTTTGGCATGTGCCTTCAGTGATGGCATATAGAGATTAGAGGACAACATGCTGGAAAAGTTTTCTGTTTCCAGAATATGGGTCCTGAGGCTAAAACTTGGATCATCAGGTTTGTGGCAAGCATTTTTAACCCATTGAGCTGTTTTGCCTACACTGATAGCAACTTTTCAAAAATTAGGTTATTTTGTTGTTTTTTTCCAAATTACTCTTCTCTAGATTAATCTTCTATGAACTTCACCCAGTAATATTTGTGATGAGGGGCAGAGTTGATTCCTGTTAACTTTGAGAAATTTAATTTTATAATGATTTCTGAACATGGCTGATTTGGAATCTAGAAAATTCCTTTGTCCTTAGTGGAATGAATGTGAAATAGAGTTGGTCCAGGATCCCTCCTGGGACAAGGGGCTGTGTGTATAGCTCAGTGGTAGAGCTTGGGTGGGCTTTGCCCCAGCTCCAAAAATAAAATAACATGCAAATGGTCAAAAGCCCCCTCTTACTTCTCCTGGAGCCTGGAGCATGAACATGATAAGCAGCCAGATGACCCTAGAGCTGCTAAAAGGGACCCAAGTCTGTGTTATTACAGGTGGCTCCAGTGCACATTTTGCTTCCTTTAAGTTTCTTAATTGAGCAACAAAATCAGGTTCAAGTCAGATTTCTCTCTCTTCCTCCTTGTTTCTCCAGGCTAAGGCCGCGAGGCAGAAGCATGATGGAACAGTAGGCCTGCTCACATACCCGGTCTTGCAGGCGGCAGACATTCTGTGTTACAAGTAAGGAGGGGGGCCAGCCCTGGGCTTGTGCTTAGGGACTCCACCATGAGAGGAGAAAGGCTGTGAGTGTGGAGGTCATTTGTTTGCTCGTGGCAAGGTCTCACTGTATAGCCATCGCTCCTTGTAAGTGTGTAATCTCCCACCTCAGGCTCCTGAGTGTAGGAATCGCAGGCATGTGCCACACAATAGTGTTTTTTTTAACTCTTCAGGCTTGTGGAGAAGGGGCTGAAAAAAGGACCAGGTATGCAAGTCAGCACTGCCTATTAAATCTGTGTGTGTTTCAGTGATGGACTTTTTGGAGCTAGCACAGAGTGCCTACTACATGTTATCGATCTTTCTAAGTGATCTCTGTGTGTGAACCCTAATAGTCTTGTAAACTTTGTCATCATCACCCCTGTTCTTCAGAAAAGGAAGCTGAGGCACAGATTGGTCAGCAGAAAATCCAAAGTCACGGTAGCTGGTAAGGCTTGGAGCGAGTCCCGGAGATACTCCCAGTCTAAGGTCAGGCAGACTTGTCACTTTGAGTCTATGTGGGGTGCTAGATGGCAGTGATAAGAACTGCTCATCTTGTGGCTGGGAAGCAAAGGAGGAGAAAAGAAGGGAAGGTGGGGTGGGGCAAAGGATGAAATAGAAGGAGGAAGGGAGGACCGTGGGCAAGAACGGGCATAATGCCAATCTGTAATGGCAGTTATGTGAGTGTGGGCTCTGCCCCTGTATCTGTTTTGTTTTGTTTCCTCTAGTGGTGCTTGAACTTAGGGCTTCATGCTTGCTAGACAAGCACTCTACCACTGTGATAGATCTACAGTCCCATTTTTGTGTTTGGCTTCTGAGACAGAGTCTGGTTAAGTTGTTCAGACTGGCCCTGAATTCACTCTGTGAATTCACACAGGCTTCAAATGTGTGTTCCTCTTGCCTTGGCCCCTGGGTAGCTGGAATTACAGCCTGTTCCCTAGATACAGCTCTGTCCTAGACCTGCCTTGCTTCTCATGCTGTTTAATGACATCAGTGAGCTGAAGGGAGTGGGGGTAAGTGCTGATCATGCTTTCTTAGTATGGTAAAATTAGCACAGACTTAATTTTTTCCAACTCTGTAACTTCTCAGGCAGGTTAGCCCCTATTATAGATTTTAGCAATGTTAATACATGATTGCTTTCTTTTCCTTACATTGAAAGCTTCATCTTTTCACCAGTTCCCTTCCATGTGTCTGATTTGCCAGCAACAATGACTGCGCACTCTGGGACCAGTATGGTGTGACTTAACCATTGTGAAGCTGTGCCCATTGACGTGAGAGCTCTGTGGCTCCAAGTATATAGTCATCATGGAAGTGCTGATTGGTGGTTTATAACGGGCTGGGAGGACAGGGTGTTGCTTACAGTGACGTGCATATTAAAACTTACTACTTGCTTCTGGGATTTTTCATGTTATGTTTTTAGGCCTCAGCTGATTTTAGGTAACTGAAGCTGCAAAAATTTAAACAGTGTCAGGAGGCAACTGATGTATGTATTTATCAGTTGCCCAAAATCTAATTGGCAAAACGATATTGTAGTTCTTTTATTTGCAAATCAGATGAACAGGGAACCCCTCTGGGAGTTACTGAGTGAATTGCATAGAATCCATAGCACATGACACAGACTCTGTAGTTTGTAGATGCAGGAGGACACTTAGAAGACTGGCATTAGCGAAGCAGCTTCCTAAGATGTCAAAGTATGTTTTACGTGCTGCCCTTTTTAGAGTCAAGTCCTAGGTTGTGAATGTCCTCATATCATACACAAAACTGTAAGTGGTTCAGATGTGTCAGATAAACCTTAACGTTTTCTGCTGGCTTTCCTGTCTCAGTCTACTTCCAACATCAGCAAGATTCACTCATAAAAATACTTAGTGTTTCCAAGATAGGCATTTCTTTCCCATTCTGTAAGTGTTCCTTAACTTTTACTGATCTCCTCAGTGGTTGGAATAGTATTTCTTCCAGACTTCAGAAAGGAGGGTGGATGATAGTGGCAGAATTCTTCTGTTCTCATCCATGTTTTGATATGTAGAGACAGTTTGTGCGGGCAAACAGATAAAAAAATTGCTTTTTTATAAAACTATGCAATTGTGTATCTTCAAGATGGTGGTCTCCTTCCTTAGCCTAGAAGTTTCCTGTCATCTCTAATGCCATGATTAGATTACAGATGTGGACATCCATATGCCTTTTTAAGAGAAGCAGTCCAGTGTTCCCTTCTGTCTAGTCTCAGGCTAGACCACCTATGCAGTTGGGAGTAGTTTTTGGTTTTTGTTTTGTTTCACATTTTTCTGTATCTGTGAAAAGTAGTTGCCAGAATGTCTAGGAATATTTATATTATAAACATAGGTATGTTGATAGATTGAAGGACAGGTAAAATATCTGTGGTTTCTATCCACCAGAAAATCTGTAGGCCTCTTCATAAAATGTTAGTGCAAGTCAAATATAGGTGTCATATTTGTTTTTGTCAAAGTCAGCATTAGAATGAGTGGTATAGTAAGCCAGAGAACAAACTCGAGGACAGGAATAGAGAAGCAGCTTCAGATAGACTTATAAAAGACATGTGTAATTGTTTCCATTGGAATTGTTGAAGGAACCCAGGGATGGAGAGCTGAGATTATTTTATCCAGAGAGCATGATAAATAACCGAAATTTAAGTCAAGCCTGGAGGTACAGGCTGTGATCCCAGCTGTTTATCAGACTGAGCAGAAAGGTCACAAGTTCAAGGTTAGCCTGAGTGACTTAGTGAAACCCTGTACCAAAATAAAAGTAAGAAGATTGTAGGTGATGTAGCTTAGTAGTAGAGAGCTTGCCTAGTGTGCACGAAGCCCTAGATTCTGTCTCTAGCACCATCAAAATAGTATTAATACATGAAGAAAGACAGAACACTCAAGTAGCAAAAGTTCTTAATTTTTACTTATACATTCCTTGCTTATCTGAGTGCCTAATTTTAAATAGCTAGCCATCAGATGATCACAAGGCCCACTGCTAGATAATGTCTTCTAGACACAACAGGGAAGCTGTAGCCATGACTTCTCAACAATATGGTCACCTAAACAAGACCTACACAATGGCAACAACAGATGACATACCAGCGTGAATGGGAGAAATCTTAGATGGGTTCAAGAAGAACTATAGGCAGTTAATGACTTCTCAGGGAGGGAGATTAGCCTTCTCCAGGGACAAAGCCAATAATAGTTTTCAATCTCAGCTTGTCAGTCTTAAACACATACACATAGGAGAAACACTAAATGGACTCAGTAGGGAGGGTGTGTGTGTGTGGGGGGGTTGTCTGTTTGTCTGTGTCTATGTGTGTGTAACAGTAATTATAGAAGAAGATGTCATGAATTTAAGAGAGAGATGGAGTGAACATGGAAAGGATGGGGGGAGAAGGAAGAGTGGAAATGATATAAATATAATACTCATGAAATTTCAAAAAATAAACAGCTAACCTCATATTAAGTAAATATTTACTTTTATTTTTGTTTCTCTTCCTATATATGTACACATATATAAAGATACATACACACACACACACACACACACAATGTATTTATATTCAGCAGGCTTTTTTTTTATTTTGTCTTTTTGAGACAGTGTTTCTTTGTGTAGCTTTGTAGGCTGGCCTCCAACTCACAGAGATCCTCTGCCTTCTGAATGCTGGGATTAAAGGCGTGTGCCACCACTGCCCAGCTTCAGCAGGTTTTTTTTTTTTTTTAAGTACATGTAATGCAGCAATTCTAGGCAGTGCCACCGTACATGCCCTTGAAGGGAAGAGAAGGAAGACTGACAAGTGTTGAGCAGTGTTCTCCAGGGCATCCTAGTGGCTAATAGAATTATGCCATTCAGATTCTCAAGACGGCTCTGTAAGATAGGTGGGTGGTATCCACATAAAGAAATTAGCTTTCAGAGTGAGGTAGTGTAGTGTCTGCGCACTTCCCTAGTGTGTGTGAGGCATCCTCAAAACGAATAATAAATAGTAACATAAATAATTTTTAAATTTCAAAAAGAGAGAAATTAACTCTCAGGGAAAATCTGCTAATTCTGCATAGACAGAGTGATTACCTGACTTCGTGTTACATATGCTTCCCTAGAGTTTAAACTGAGAAAAAAAGGAGAGAAGGCAGAGATTGTAGATCAGAATATATATGGTCCTAGGGAGCAAGCTCAAAAGAGCATTGCACTCATCTCCAAGCCTGACAACCTAAGCACAAGCCTAAGAGCCCGTGTGCAAGGAGAGCATTGATTCCTACAAGTTTTTTTTCTGACCACAAGCCTACCATCATGCCCAAATGTGTGTGTGCACATGTACGCATACTAAGTAAATAAATGTTTTTAAAAAATAGTCTGAAATGACACTGTAGAATGAAGAGGTGGGCCTTTAAAACCTGTAAGTAGAAAACCAAACTCTGTTAGTCAGCTTTTTTTGCAGTGACAAAATACCTGAGCTAAGTCAGCTTAAGTCAGTCTTGGCTTGGGGACGGGGATTTCAGCACGTGATTGGTTGGCCTCATCGATTTGGGTCTAGAGGGAGGCAGGATGTCATAGTGGAAACATATGGTGGGACAAAGCTGCTTTATTTCATGGTGACCAAAAACAGGTCTAGGGAGGCAGACCAGGGTCACCAAACCCCCTTCAAGGGCCACACCCCAGTGACCTAACTTCTTTCTAGTAGGCCCAGCTCCAAAGTGGTTCCACATCTCCCAGTAGCTCCACAGACTGGGACCAGCATGGTCTCTGGGGGACATTTAAAGTACAAAGGAAGCCAAGAAACAACAAAATGTAGACAGGAGAATAAGTGGCCTGGAATTTCAGTTTGGTGGTTTCGGCTTGCAGGAGAGTCTTCCTATTGTCTGGGGGGTGGGAGTGCTGCACTGGGAGTCAGCTTTTTTACAGCAGGTCTTAAAATCTTAGGGTTCCTAAACTTCCTCCAGTGAGCCCAGGCTGTCCTGGAATCTTCCGATGTGCTGAAAGCCACAGCCCCAACTTCATTCTATCATACTGCCTGCATAGTCCTTCCTTCTCTTTCTTTCTGGAATAGCTGTAGGGCATAGTGCCCTATTAAACCAAGCTCCATTGGAAAGCAATCTGAGGAATGGAATCTCCAGGCTTCTATCCCCTCAAACTGAGAGCTCCCAGAGAGGGGAGTGAACTGTGGTTGACAACAAACAAGCCAACATGTGCTCCACAAAGAGTGGGAAGCTGTCTGTACTTTAAGGACAGAGTGAATTGGGTGTCATCAGTGCTTGCTAAAGGAAACGTTAAATGCAAGAAGCTGCATTAAAGGAGACCAGCAGCTGGGACAGTCTGCTCAGAGGCCATTGCACCAGCCTAGAGCATGGTAGTGATGGTAAAGAAAGAAATACAGCTTCACAGTAGATAGAATATGCATGAGTGACATGTCAGAGGTAACCACACATTCATTATGATGTTGCCCTGCTCGAGGTGGGCAGTCCTAGGAGAGGACTAGTCAGAAGTTAGTTTCTCTCAGTATCTAATTAGTATCAGTGTCTACTAAGTAATTGCTGTAACGGAGAATCATCGCAGCATGTCCAGTAAGCAATCAATGAGGGGGAACCAATCCTTTGTGACAGAAAGACAACTCCAAGCCCCTTTCCCAGCCTGCTGAGTATCCTCACAGGCAGAGCCAAGCAAGTAGGGAAAAGCAAGATCTACATAGGCAAGGCTCATTCATCTGGACACTAATGCTACCAAGGGGTGGGACAGAGCCCAAGTAAATTTTGAGGCCATAAGGATGGAAGCAGAAGAAAAAAAACGGTTCAGTTACCAAAGAAGAAGATCAGAGGCATTATTATGTGACAGAAGTTATAACAATCAAAATTATGAAAGACTTTTGTTTTATGTTGTGTCTGAGAAAGCACAGCCGGGGTGAGAGGGAATAAAAAGGAAGGAGAGAAAGAGTGGACGTATTAATATGGATATCATTATGTCGGATATAAATTTTAAAAGCACAGCCCTAAATTATTTGAAGTGAAAGGCAGACTATGAGGAGAGAGGTTGAAAACGTGAAGAGAATAAGCCCCATAAGTGAGTGGAATCAAAGACAGGCTGAATCATGTAAAGTGTGAACTCAACGGATGAGAAGCGAAGGCCGAGATAAATTACAGGAGGTGAAAGCGGCAGCGGCCGCAGAGGGAGGAGGGACCCGAAACAAACAAACCAAAGTCAGATGCAAGCGCCACGTGGAGCAACAGAAACAGGTGAAAAAAATTAAAATGGTTTTAATCCTCTTGTAAAAAAAAATATCAAAACCCCACAGAATTGTAAGAAAAGAGTCAAGGATCCAACATCAGGCAAGACGCACACCGCGTCATTATGAAAACTAAATGTGTTTTCTGTTTAGTGGGGTGGCTTTGGGAATCTGGAACCATTTTGACATGTGGAAATATTCATTTTGATGTGCTTAAAGTGTATTGATTATGGTAATTGTTTTTTCTGTGTTAGTTGCAGTCCATTGTGATTTCCTATGGGCTACTGTAATTGCTTTTTAACCTGCTCTGTTGGCTAATTTGGGCTGGGGGAGCCAAGGTGACCTCTGCATATGGGCCTCACTGTAATTATTAGGTAAGAGTAGCAAAGACCAGTCGAAGAAAAATTGACAAAAGCAGGTCATGTGCTTGTGGAGCCCAGAGAGGAGCCCCATACTGAGCAGAGGGTATGGAGTATCCATGCCACTTCTACCACGCAGAGCCACCGGCATTCTGCTCTGGCTGGTTCAGCTCTCCCAGGCCCTCTGCAGTTTCCCTGAACTGCTTTTGCTGACCTCAAAAGAGGAGGAAGCACTTCCTGGTTCACAGCCTCAGCCACACCTTCACCTTTTCACTCACTGCTCTGGTTTTCTCATGTCCAACTTCTCAGACGTCCTATCAAACACTTTATATTTGGGAGTCACCTGTCAGTTTCACATATATTTTGTACCCAAGTCTGGATTGTCACCGGCTCTGTGGCCATCTCTGAGGTTGAGCATTGGTATTTCTGTCTTGCAAGGTGAGCTGACCATTAAAATAAAGATCTTATTTGAGAAGTTAGTATGCCTCCCAAAAGGCCATTTACATCTCTCTCTTGCCATTGTGCCCTTCATCCTATCAGACATTAATGAGTTTTGTCATATCAATTGCTTCCATGTATGGAGCTCTCACTATCAGGAGGTACATTTGATAACCCTAGAAACAGCCAGAAGAGGATGGTACCATCATTGACTCAATTTGCAGAGGAAATGGAAGGCTCGGAAAGAGGGAGAGACTCCTTGATCTGAAGCTATAGCTGTGCTATCAAACCTAAGCCCACAGCCAATCGTCAAACATTGAAATCACCTATCTCCACCCACAGGCATTCTTCTTAACCCCCCTCCTCAGAATCCCATGCTTTGAACTGCACATGCAGGAATGATATCATCATAAATAGATTCTGTATGTTCTGAGTGGGGCTTTTTTTCACGCCCTCATTTCTTCTTTTAAAATATTTTGTTATTTATTTTTATTTTATGTGCACATTTGTCTGTGTGAGGATGTTGGATTCCCCTGGATCTGGACTTAGAGACAGCTGTGAGCTGCCGTGTGGGTGCTGGGAATTGAACCTGGGTCCTCTGGAAGAGCAGCCAGCGCTCCTAACTGCTGAGCCATGTCTCCAGTCGCACATCCTCATTTCTTAATAAATAAATTTTTTTTTAGGTAAAATTCAAGTTGCCTCAGTCTTTTTTCTCAAATCATGTTCTTCCTTCTCTAAAAACATCTACAATGAGTTGTGAAAGGTGGTTTGTGTGTGTTTTTTTCTTCTTCTTTCATTATCATCAGTCCTGGAGATTCAATTGCCGAAAGATCTTGAATCATTCCTTGTTTGATGAGGAGGAAATCTCTGGCCGGAAGAGCTGTCTGCCATCTCTAATTTGAAGAATGGGTGGGGGTATCTTTCAAGTGTGAGCCGCAGCTCTGAGGTAAAAGCATCTGGTCTAGGCTGAAGTAATCTGTGCTGACTGGGTGAGGGATGAGGAGTGGCTTTTAACACAATTATGCACAGCGCATGTGCTATTGAAGATGCCATGGCTCCCTCCTGGCAGGGTCCTGTCTTGCTGGTGTTGATGGCTATACTCTGTTGCAATGGGAGAAACAGAACGAGAGTAGACAAACATCTCTTCAGCATTTGTCCGACACACAGATAAAGACTTGGGTCTCGGTGTTCCCTCTGTAGTTGATGAACATTTGTTGAACACCGACAGTGAAGCAGGCACAGGACATACAGCTGCTTGCAATATCATTTCCGGCTAAGAAGGAGGCTTGCTGAGTTTTTCTGTCTGTGTTTTATTAAAGGTCCACACACGTTCCTGTCGGGGAGGATCAAGTCCAGCACATGGAACTTGTTCAGGATCTAGCTCGAAGTTTCAACCAAAAGTATGGGGAGTTCTTTCCACTGCCCAAGTCCATTCTCAGTAAGTAACAAGTGGATGGTTATGAGATCTGGATACATACTCAAGAGTGGCCTGGAGACCTGGAGCTTCATTGGGACTAAATTTGGCTTTTTCACAGGCCGGCTTCAGGATTCTTAACTGGAATCCTTATTGTTTGGATTATGTGGGACTAGAAGATGATATTGGATTGTAGAAAACATGAAAAGAAATTGTGAAATATGGGGAGAAACTTTAAAAAAAACATAATTTTAGTTTCAATAGATTGGGTGTATAAAATAAGATTTTACAAATGACATGCCCTATTTTACACATACCCAGACTAAGGTTCAGCAAGGTTCACTCTGTGTTCAAGTCACATGTCTAGTTGATCATAGAGCTAAGTAAGTCCTGTCAGCTCTTCTGATCCCAAAGCCCATGGACTTCACCATTCCTAACAGTCACAGTAAGACAAATGTCAGGAGAATGAGGACTGCTCAGTCATATTCCAGACAAAATGAGAGAACTGATGGCCCCCCAGCACTGTTTTCTGAAGTTAACAGGAAAGCTGGAATAGACAGTCTAACACTGCATCTGAAATGCCAGCCTCAGCTCTGTTAGGGTATCCCGGGCTTTGACGTCACCCTTCTTTATAGCAATAAGATTTCAATGTCCAGCCTATTACTGTTTTACCTACTTCAGTTTCATCTTTAATAGCCATAAACGAAACAGTTATCAATAACAATGACTTATGAAGCACAGCTTAGGATGCCGTGTGTGTGTGTGTGTGTGTGTGTGTGTGTGTGTGTGTGTGTGTGTGTTCGTTCTATGACTGTGTGTTTGCATATGTCTATAAATATATAATTTTGTGTAAAGATGTGAAAGGATTGCCAGAGATGCTTAAAGTTGCAGCATTCCTACAGCAAGGTGGGAGGTGGAGACAGAATGGCCCAGCCAGCCTCGGGGATGCTGCATAGTTGCAGAAGGAAGAGATACCCAGAAGTTGCCCAGTGGCCACAAATTCACCATGGCACATGTTTATCTGTACACAAGTCCACTCACACACATTTAAAAATACATTCTAAATGTTCACAGAGCCTAAGAGATGGCTTGCAGGATAAAGGCACTCACCATGCAAGTCTGGTGACCTGGGTTCCAACCCTGGATCCCACAGGTGTACACAGCATAAGCAGTGTAACCGACATAATTCCATTTGTGTCAGTTACACACTGGATGAACCACTGCCCGTACATGCTGTGGATATTGCTTTAGCAAGACCTGTTTCTGCTGTCTTTACTTCCACATTTGATAAATTGCTCAAATTCTTCAAGGTGAAGGTGTGCCAGTTTTTTTTTTGTTTTTGTTTTTCGAGACAGGATTTCTCTGTAGCTTTGGAGCCTGTCCTGGAACTGGCTCTGTAGACCAGGCTGGCCTCCAACTCACGGAAATCCACCTGCCTCTGCCTCCCGAGTGCTGGGATTAAAGGCGTGCGCCACCAACACCCAAGGGAGGTGTACTATTTGTGCATCAGATATCTCTGGTGGTTTTTGGTGTCTTCGAGGTCTAGACTGTAACATTTTTGATGGTTTGTCTTGTTTTCACCAGCATCCATGAAGAAAGTGAAATCCCTCCGGGACCCCTCTGCCAAAATGTCAAAATCAGACCCTGACAAACTGGCCACTGTAGGAATAACAGACAGCCCAGAGGAGATCGTACAGAAATTCCGAAAAGCTGTGACAGACTTTACATCCGAGGTCACCTATGAGCCAGAGAGCAGAGCTGGCGTCTCCAACATGGTGGCAATCCATGCAGCCGTGTCAGGCCTCTCGGTGGAGGAGGTGGTGCGCAGTAGCGCAGGCATGGACACTGCGCGCTACAAGCTGCTGGTGGCGGATGCTGTGATTGAAAAATTTGCTCCAATCAGGAGTGAAATTGAGAAACTGAAAATGGATAAGGACCATTTAAAGAAGGTTTTACTTGTTGGGTCTGCAAAAGCCAAAGAATTAGCCTATCCTGTGTTCGAGGAGGTGAAGAAATTGGTAGGGATTCTATAGGAAATCAGCCAGTCACTACACTCCGTCAAGGCAACTTCCCTCTGGCAGATTTTAGTCTGTACATATTTGGTTTGATGGTTAGCTTCATTTGATGAATGCTTCCAATCAATGTTCCAATTTCATCAGCAAATGCCCTAATGAAGAGAGCTGAAGTAGGTGCAGCTTTCTATCCCCCAGTTAATTGAAGTACATTTTGGGGTCTGAAGTATCCCTACACACTTGACAGCTATACAATAACTGAGCTCTGATGTGCCCTTGTTTGTACAGTCTTTAGTGTAATGGGTGGACTTTATCTATGTCTGAACCCTTTTTACAGCTGTGCATAGAGGTCCCATGCTAAAAGTTTATAATTTGAGTTCATAAAGATAGGTTGATTCTTACAGCTCATGTGTCACTGAGATGATGTTCGTCCTCATGTATTTGAGCGACTTAACTTGGGCCAGCAAGGTGGCTCAGACTCAAGGCACCTGCTGCCAAGCCTGACAGTCTGAGTTCAATCACCAAGATCAGAGTGGTGCAAAGAGAAAATTGACAAGTTGTCTTCTGATCTGCATTTGTGTACCATGGTGTAAGTACACAAACAACAACAACAACAAATAAATAAATAAATAAATAAATAAATAAAATAATCTACTTAGCTTCTACTTGTTTTCTAAGAAGCCATACTGACTTATTCCAGCAAGTACCTGTTCTTACATTCAGAGATTCAAGAGGTCATCATTTGAGAGCTATGTATTGCCACACTTTCATTTATTTATTATACAGGGCCCAAGTTCTGGGGGGGCGGGGTGGTTTGGTTTGGTTTGGTTTCGGTTTTTTGAGACAGTGTTTCTTTGTGTAGCTCTGGCTGTCCTGGAACTTGCTCTTTAGACCAGGCTGGCCTCGAATTCATAGAGATCCACCTGCCTCTGCTTCTGCCTCCCAAATGCTGGGATTTAAGGTGTGCGCCACCTCAGCCACCACCACCACCACCACCCAGCTGGATCAGGTTCTTAATATGCACTTGATTTTTACGATCACCTCAATTTAGACTCAGCAACCCCTCCCTCTGGAACACATTGGAGAAGAGTTACATTTTACACATAGTGGAACCAAGGGGCAGATTGTAGTATTAGCTCGTACAGTATCACTAAATAAGAATCAAATCTAAGAGTGAAGCCTTTTCTCCCTACTCCCACGACCAGCATTTTTTAAGAACTCTTCCCAAAGCCCAAAGGGACAAAGTGTTGAACCTCCAAACATTCCAGTTCTGAAGGTGGGTACTGGAAAGACAATGCCTAAAATAATGATTTTGTTTGTATCAGCTAATAGCTGTGTGTTTAAAATCCAGATCCAGCTCGCTTTGGTAACATTTACCCCTCAAATCCCCAAAAGTGGGTCCCAAGGCCTTGTTTCTAGATTGCAGAGATGCCTGTTTGTCTCTGCTAGACTCCAGTGGGAGTGAGGGCTGAAGCCTCTGATATCCCCCATGAAGGGAAGATCTCATGTCTACCTCAGTCTCTAGGAAATAACAAACCACCCAAAACTAGATCTGCACTTCCATGTTCACACTTGAAAATGGAAATGGCAGTTCTGGCTTGCACACCAAGGCCTAATATCAAGATTGACTTTGCAAGGGCCAGCAAGAGGGCTCTTGATGCCAACCTAGCCTGACTGATTACTGGAGTCCAGTCTCTGAGAGCCACATGGTAAATAGAGAGAACCGATTTCCCAAATCTGTGCTGTGACTTACACACACCCACCACGGTGGCATACACAAGCCTGTCCACACACAAATAAATGCTTATTTTTTAATTTTAAGGTTGATTTCACAACACATATCATTGTCACTTAGATGACAGGGACTAGGAGGCGCTGCATCCCAGTGTACTGGTATGGTGCCAGATAGCACAGATAGAGGACTTGCCCAGCGTGGACCTGCTTATTGGACAACACTGCGGTGAGGCATGGAGCTTACTTGTGCTTGGAATAAATCAAGAACATGGTATGGGTCTCTTCCTGGAGGGGTCCTCCTGAAGACAGTATAGTTTAACCATATAGTTTGCACAAAAAAAAAAGAAAGAACGAAAAAGAAAAAAGAAAGAAAGAAAAGAAAAGAAAGAAAGAAAACTTACACAACGCACTATCAAGCATTATGCATTGCCATACGCTGAGAACTGAGCATATTCTGATGCAATGTGACATTTACATCAACCCTATAAGATACGAGTTCTCAACTCTACTCTTTAAAGTGAGAAAGCCTACTCAGCGATGTGTCTAAAGCCACAATCATGTTATTAGCTTCAAGTTTCTTCTAATGGAGACCTGAGGGATGCCTTGAGTAGCCAGCCCTAAGCAGTGGTCTGACCCTGCTAGTCCACTGTCTTCTCCCCTCAGCTCCATTATGTTCTCATTTCTTACATTTTCCTTTTCTGCACCCCCCTGTTTCTCCTGTTCTTCCTACTTGTTTCACTGTTCTTATAAATTATTCCCTAAAACTTCATTTGTGCCCACAGCACAGCCCTCAGCCTTTGTTCCCAGCCAAGTGGCCTGTGTCTATTGTGAGTTAAAGGGGATGACTGTGCCATGTGGCAGTTCTTGGTCTCTCTCTAACATGAGGATCTTGTCTGCGTTGTTATGTGTTGTCCTTGTGTGATCACTTTTGTTCATTCTGTCAACTTGGTGGTTTTTTTATTTTTTTTTTCAGGGGAAGAATAGTCTGTTCTTCCCAGAGACTGATCTGAACAGATTGCCTATCATTAGCAATTACAATTTTCCAGCACCTGCAATTCTGTTTTGTTGGTTACATGAGGATTGTTTCTTTCTCTAGGAAGGAGATTGGGGTCCTGTGCATTACAAATTTGTTCTCAGATACACAGTTCAACACTGTCATCATGTTTATGATGGATCCACCTTGTGAGAGCAATGAGGGAAATGCAATACACCTATTATTCAGCAGAAGACACTCGGAGATGCAAGCTTGCAAATGCTGGTATAGCTTGGGAGTGAGAAAATCAACATGAATACTCAGGGGAAACACGCCATAGATCAGGGATAGGAGAAAATATTTTCTTTTCTTTTGTTGTTGTTGGTTGGTTTTTTTAATTATTTTATTTTATATGTGAGTGTTTTTCTTTCATGTATGTATTTATCCACTACTTGCATGCTTGCTGACCATAGAGGTTAGAAGAGGGCATCAGATCCCCTGGAACAGGAGTTTTAAATGGTTGTGAACCTCCATGTGGGTGCTGGGAATCCAACTCAGTTCCTCTGCAAGAGCAATGAATGCTCTCAACTGCCAAGCTGTCTCTCCAGCCTGTGCTTCTACATACCTCACAACTGGGATTATATTCCACCAGAAACTTCACAACTAAACCACATTCAAACCATGCAAGATGTCACACTCAGTGGTCTTCACATAAATAAAATATTTCATATCTAATATTAGTGTGTTGGCTCTGTAGAATACTCTCAACCCTAACCAACATATTTACTGTTATCATTTCAAAAGGTATTTCTAATAAGCAGATGATGTGTCTTATGTTTCTATTTTGAACTCTGATTTAACAGCTTTCCCTTTTTGAATAATATTTAAAACTATAGGCTCTACCTTGGAAGAAAGCCATGTCCTGTTTTAGGTGCATGGGTACCGTGATGAAGAAGTGCTGTATGCTGGCTCTTACTGTCAGGTCTTACCACATTAGCATGTCCCACAGAAAAGCTCTTTGAACTTTGTCAATTCAAATAAATGTGTTATCCCGAAATGTGCTCACAATAAGAAGGTATTGTCTGATGATTGTTTTGAATTAAACTTTGTGAGTTATCTAGACGTGGCTATGGGAGCTAGCCCTAGGTATAGAAGTGTTCTGGTCATGGATAGTCAGTGAGCAAGGAGTATCCTGTTCGTAAGCACTATTCCAGAAGAAAATGTGTGTCCTGGAAGAGGAGATCTACTCATGTGCATACAAGATAACCAAGTTGCTTCAGGGTGGTTTCTTCCCTGGGTCCTTACAGAGAGAATGGATGAATAATGAGATTCTGAGCGATGTTGACCCTTTGGCAGATTCTTCTTTGTTAGCCCGGCCCTCTCTGCTTGCTGGTGTTATTCAGCTTCAATCCTACTCAGCCGCAAGCTCAGCTCAAGAACAATTCTCTGATAAGTGTGTAGAATGGTCAAGAACATTTGCCCTGGGACATCTCACATTTGCTCCTCTTCTTCGCATCTAAGGTGATGCCAGACCAGCTACCACCCCTGCTTCTCTTATCCATCACTTTCTTTAAATATATCCCCAAGGCCAAGCAATCCTTCTGGTTGAGCACTTTATAATTCACACATTGCCACTGTCACCAAAGGGAAGGTCTTTTCTGAGATTTTGTACATTTATTACTCTCTTCCACAGTCTCCATTGATACTTGACACCACTGAAGTCAGAAGTGCATGACCTCTGTGTAGTCACGGCATGTCTGAACTCCTGTGTCCTTTCACACCATTCTATAGTAACTATCTCCATGTGTCTCCCCTACTGTCAGCCCTATGGTTATTTATTTTTCTTCTCTAATTTATTAATTCTTATTTTATATGCATTGGTGCTTTGCCATGGGTGTCAGGTCCTCTGGAACTGGAATTACAGACAGTTGTGAGCTGCCATGTGGGTTCTGGGAATTGAACCCCAGTCCTCTGAAAGAGCAGTTAGTGCTCTTAACCACTGAGCCATCTCTTCAGCCCCTATAGTTATTTCTGTGCTAGCCACTATCATGACTTTTATGCCATGCCTGACATAGTCTACAACTGGATATTCATCAATCATCCATTGCTCCACACCCATCTATTAAGGAAAGAGTTCTCAATGCACTGTGATATGATGGACACATCTAGGTCAACAGAAAGGATTTTATTGTTTGATCCATATGAAACCCAAATTAGCAAACCCAGTATTGATTCTTCTTTTATTTAGCATACATACATATGCATAAAAGACCTTATTGTATTTACTGCTCAGGTTTTCATTACTTTATTCATAGATTTGTCATAGATTTTGAGTAACTGCTAGCTCTTTTCCGGCATTCACCCTCCCCTTCTTCCTTGTTAGTGATGGAGCCGTCTCTCTGAAATTCAGCAGAGTTCTCAGCCCCAGGTAAGTCCTATGTTTTCTGACTTGCAGTAAGGTAAGTATGGTGGCTGTTTTTGGTTTTCATCTTGATTGCATCTGGAATTAACTAAAACTCAAAAATAGAGGGGCCCAACTGTGAGGGATTTTGTGCTTAATTTGAAGTGAGAAGATCTGTTTTTAACCCAGATCTTTGAGTAGGGAAGACAAGCCTTTAATCCAGAATTTTGGGGGTGGAAAGACCCAACTCTAATCTGGCCAACACCTTCTGCTGGAAATTATAGAAGGTCATGGAAGATGGAAGACTTTGCTGACTACTGGCTTGTTCAGCCTGCTTATAGAATCCAGGACCTCCAGCCCAGGGATGAAACCACCCACAATGGGCTGGGCTCCTCCCCCATCAATCACTAATTAAGAAAATACCCTACAAGGCTTGCCTAGAGCCTGATCTTATGGAGGCATTTTTAAAAATTCTTCTCTCATGCAATACATCCAACTGCAATTTCCCCTCCCTCCACTCCTTCCAGCCTATCCTTTCCCCTTCTC